CAAGGCCCTGCTCGATCCATGAATACCCTCCTCCCATCGTTTAGGCTTCGTACTCTCTGCTAATCGGCAGTCAGGGCTGGCCAGGGGGCGCCGAACCTATTCAAGTCCCTACGTAAAGATTCCATTTCGCTCTCGGCTTCCTTTGAGATAAATAAAATTGAATCTCACCCTAAAGATGAAAGAAGGAGTTCGAAATACTAACATCGTCTATCTGCAATTATCAAGTTAATGACTCGGTGCGCTTAACACATATAATAAAGGTAACATGGTGGGCTCAGTCGTCTGCCTTAGAGAGAAGTTTCAGTTGAAGATTATAAATTAACCCCATTGCCACATTAGTCTTATATTATAAGTTTTCTTGACTTCAATTTTAGGGGCAACTCCTTTAAAGAGGGCACTATGTCGTACTCAGAATTTGTGTGGTTCCTCCTTGCCGAAGAAGACAAACGCCATCCTCGAAGGTAAGTGACCGAACCTAGCACGGACGCCACTCGCAAGCCAGTCATGAACTTTTGTCATATACTGTCATTCATTAAGATTTGTATAGCATACCATTTTATTATCTAATGTTGACCTCTTTGAGCTGCTGAAACAGAGGCTTACCGAAAAGGGACGCAGTTTATGCTATTTTCCCGCTTACCAAGCTCTCCGATAGAAACGAATATGCCAGTTCCAGGAAGCAGTTCACAAGAAGAAAATGCGAGCACTAGAACAAAGATTTTATTTTCCTGACGTTTTGTATTCTGTCGAAAATCCTTAATCATAGGTAACCGTAAAATGGTGTGAGACATGCGCAGATTGCGCGGTATTTATAGTTCGTAGCGGTCATCCGCATGCGTACTATAATTATCAACTTCTGCAATTAGTGCTCGGGGTATTAATTGGTGCGCTGTTGACTTGACGCTTCCCTTTCGAGCCATTAATGGCCGCGATTTCTTTGTCCGTGTCGTATGCGGACTTGATAATTGGGCGACAATTATGTTCGCTGTCGTCAGAGCTGTTCCTGGTCCCAACCGTCGGGTGAGTTGCAACCTGGGAGTTAGGGTATTTCTTCATTTTACGGTTACGTATGATTAGGCATTCTCGACATAATACGAAACGTCAGATATATTAAAATTCTTGTTTCAGTGATCGCATCTTTTTCTTCTTGATTTTTTTTTTGCATCGACACCTCTTGCACAGGATTGCGGGCTTTTTGCCTGTCCATGTTGCCGTTTCCGCTCAACCCTCGACCTTCACCCTCACCAAGACTATTAACATTAATTACTTATTTCCTGGGGCCGTTATGGACATTTACACGTGCCACTCTCCTTTCATGGATTTTAATGCCGTGATTCGTGTAATTCAATTATTCTTTGATGCTCTTTTCCATTCAGCATTGAATACTGGTTTCGTTGCATGGACCTGGATGGGGATGGCGTGCTGTCTCTCTACGAGTTGGAATACTTTTACTCAGAGCAGTCAGCCCGCATGGAGGAGATGGGTATTGAACCGCCTACCCTGGAAGACTGTCTGTGCCAGTGTCTAGACATGGTGAAACCGGCTCTCACCGACAGGATCCTTCTCTCCGATTTGAAGCATTGTAGT